GTATAAACAATTTACCTGTACGTAGGTCCAATATCCAGCTGCTTTTTTTCATCCACTTCACACATCCATACGAAGTCAGTAATAGGTCTAGAGTGTTTCACAATAGCGTGGGCATTACGGAATAGCTTGTCTAACCTATTAACACTTTTACCATTCAACATTTCGATGATTCTATCAGCAGGAAGTTGTTTTGATGGTGGAGCATTCTTTGCGTCGAATATCGATTTGGCTTGTTTATGACCAATTGACATTTCATGGCATGTGAGGGCATCATGTCTTAAATTGGTACACCCGGTTACAAACGATCCCTTTCCGTACTTACGGAATTTGTCTGGTATTTTGCGATTTGATAACGGCCCGTAAATAGCCCGACAGATACGGCAATACACCGTATGATTACCGGTGTCATCGGCGACCAGCCATTCTTTGAACTCCGTCTTCCAGCTTGGAACTATTTTGCGAGTACGTTTTGACTGGTCATACTCCTTATTTGCCGCAATTCTATCGATGCTCGACTTCTGTTTCTTTGTTGGAGGGTCTATCCCCAAAAAACGATACATGTTGTACGCGAAATGAAAACTTTGTAAACAAACTACGCAACGATTGAACTGGTCAGGGGTTACCGGAAGTCTCACTGCACCATGGGAGATAGAACCTGACCCGAGGTCATGTACTTATTGTTATGTTAATAAGTCAATGGATTCCGTGTTGTGGGTTGAGAATGCGTGTCGGCAAGTCGCGATGTGCGACGGCAATGCATATTTTCATAGTTTTGGCTGATCACGTTTCTGATTAAAATGTTTAGAGCACATATAAAGAATGGTAGCTTGTTTTTATTTCAATTTCGGCGGAAGAATGTGGTAACATGTTACCCGACCACCGGACAGGGAAGTTTGAAATTCAACCAGTCCGATACGAAAGTTACCCGTCTCGGGTGTGCGGACGGGCAGGAATTTCCTACACTGAGTACCTTCCATGGTATGTCAAACTATGCAACTGATCATGGGGTAAAGCTAAAACAATAGCGTTGTGACTCCTTCCGGTAGTACCTTCCATGGTATGTCAAACTATGCAACTGATCATGGGGTAAAGCTAAAACAATAGCGTTGTGACTCCTTCCGGTAGTACCTTCCATGGTATGCAGTGTTCTCCACAAGGGGTTTTAGGCGGGCGGCCCGCCCATCAAGTTTTACGGCCGCCTAGTAACTCTCAACACCCGCCCACCAACGTACATCTAGCTGAAATTATTTGTAAAAAGCTTGCATTGTTCTTCCCAAGCCTAAACAAAAGAGTAGTTGCCCAACCCTTTATTTTGCTATTGTTTCAAGAGTCCAGACATAAACAGTGACCACTGGAAGTCTGCAAGCAGTTATCAAGTGTATTCATGGCAATGTGTCAATCGCCTGAATTCATTGTCGCCTGACATTGTTGCCACTTATTGCTCACAATACGCAACTACAGTGGTTTCAATTTACAGCTGTATTTTTAATAATCGTCTTCCGATCACGAAAGAAAGAAGTAAATACGAACGAAATGTATATGCACAGAAAATAAACAAATATATTAGCAGATTGCATGTAAACTCGAACAAAAATTAAAATTCTAGCCGTATTTACAACGTTCGCTCGATTTTCATCGTGAAAACAGCATGGAGAAGGCAAACTGGTGACCTTTTGGCCTACCCCATTCAACGACCGTCGGCCACCCACCGCTGTTGACGCTGTAACGATTTAGTATCTAAGTTGCATAGGGGAACAGCGCATTTTGGGTGTTCGTGTACTGAATTCGGAAAGCGGTAATAAACATCAAACATGGCTGCCGGATTAGTTTACCGCGAGTATTTGTAATTGATTAATATTTTAGTTATCTTTTCCACGTACTTTTTTCAATTTATCCATTTTTTATGGCTAATCTTTCGAGAACATAGC